CACAGGACTTGCTTTCATTGGAGGACTCCCAACATGGCCTCTGCCTCTTGCAGTCTCCAGCCGACAGCCTGACTGGCTCCAGACTTCAGGCAGACTGCTCTCAATTCTCACAGACTGGTTTCCCGCCCAAAAGCTCCACTATACAAACAGCCCTTCCCGCCCAGGAAGTGACTCTCCCTCCTGCAGCATTCTGGGGCAGATCTCCTCACAGCCTTGATGGACTTCCTGTCCTCTCTAGGGAGCTGCCCTCTGACTGCTGGTTGGAGAGGGGGGGGGAGAGAAATGAGGAGGAGACTAGGCCAAGGCCTACCTCAGGTTTCATGGTCCCCTCCTATCTGGCCCACACCAACTTAAACATAGGCACAAAATGGCGTTTCTCCACAGAGGGAAACTGACAGAACTCCCTGGGGTGGGAGCTCCAAAGTTTTGGTGCCATGACTAAAAAGCCCCTTTTCGGGCTTCCACCCGTCTATCTTCAGAGAATGGATGCCACACTGGGCAAAGAATCCAGCTGAGGGAATCTTAAGCTAGATTTCCTTTTCTAAAGCAAGTTTCCAGCCATCCATGGCAAAAAAAGGTACGCTCTGAAGTGTCTAGGCAGTACCTTGATGTTTTTGGAAGCCGGAGAGGAGGCAGTGTAAGATTACAAATGGGCGTCCTGTGTACCCCCTGATTCGCACAAAGGGTGTGTGGCAGCATATCCTGGGTGGAGGCACTCTGATGCCCACTTTATGTACAAGTGGGCACAGTAAAATGTGACTTCTTTCATTATGCCAGGGCTGTTTGCTGCCACAACAGAGGAACAGTAACCTAAACTGGCCTATAAGTGTGCCACAGTACTTGTGGGGAACTTATTTTGACCGATCTATAAGCATCCCTGTACCACCATAAAATACAGTGCCACTATGTTTCCAATAAAGTCCCATACAAAATACTGCAACATTATGTGGGAAAGAAGGGGGGGAAATGGTAATGAGAATGTGATCATTAATTGTACTGTTAATGCCTCAAAACACCAAGACTGTTGTTGCTCCTGTGTAATGAGCATTAGAATTAGAAACCTAGGTGTGCTTCTTTTGGTGAAGGAAGGAGGGGCAGAAGCGGTTAACTTTAAAAATGAAGGCACATTTCCCAACAGAACATATCTTGGTGTTGCATCTATTACCCACTAGGTGACACCAAAGTGGCAGGCAAGTTTCAAAGATATTGGCCAAATAATTAGGACGAAAAAAATTGCTGCTCATGATTGGGGGGGGAATCAAAAACAATATTAAGTTTTCCAAATTGCTTTCCCCCGGTGGCTGAAAATATAAGAACACTTAGAACATGTTTAGAACACGCTTACAGACTCAGGGCTGTTTTTGAGCAGGAACGCACAGGAACGGAGTTCCGGCTGGCTCCCGAGTTTGCCACGCCCAGCAGGAACTCATTAGCATAACAGGCCACACCCAACAGCAGAAACTCATTAGGATTGGCTACATTAGGGGTGTGTGGGCTAACATGCAAAGGAGTTCCTGCTACAAAAAAGGCCTGGGTTTTGACAACAAACAAGGTAAGCAGAATAAGAAGCAAAAGGTGGGTGTGGCTGGATGACCACACTTCTGGTAACATGGGAATGCGGCCTAATAGGCCAATGAGTTGCGCTGTCAGAGGTGTGGCCTAATATGCTAATGAGTCCCTGCAGTTGGGTGTGGCCTATTATGCTAATGAGTTCCTGCTGGGCTTTTTCTACAAAAAAAAGCCCTGCTTACAGTAAGTCTTCATAGAGTTATATAGAAGATTTGTATTGCACACCACATCTTTGGTTTCACTTAGCATATATACTTAGATAATATTTCTGGACTCTTGTAGAGTTATGCACCACTAGGTGGGAAGCTAGACTTGTTCCTAAGGCAAGAGACGTTTCAGAGGTGGGTTTGCCACTGCCTGCCTCTGCGTCATGGCCCTGGTATTCCTTGGAGGTCGCCCTTCCAAATACTACCCAGGGCTAAC